ACACACACACACACACACACACACACACACACACACACACACACACACACACACTTATATCATTTGTATATATAATTTTTTCTCTATTTACCTTCATTAATTTGAAGTGTTTTGTGTAGTTCTTTTATTCACAGTTAAACAGAAAATGTATTTAGTTCTTTAGGCAAAGAATATCCTGGTATATGTCATCATCCAACTGGTGTAGTGATAYAAAAGCATTATTTAGGCAGTTTTGTCAAACATAGATTAATAAAGGAAAACTTAAAAGTGTTTTTGTAGGATGCTGTCCCTTCATCTTCATTTTTGAATGAAAATAAAAAAGTTTTTAAMCCAAACAAGAAATGGGGCAAATATTTGAGAAGATTACCAAACCTCACTTGATTTTTAAAGAGTAAATGTTCTTTTAATAGGTATTTGGTGTTAATTAGTTTCACATTTGTTTGGTTTAGTTGAGTTAACTTCTTAACTTCTTGTTTTTGTGCTGACAGACATGGATGTTCATTTGTTGTTGACACACCTCATGTTCAAAATATCTGTCTGTTCCATGAGGTGTTTTTAGAAGAGTTTTTTTGTTAAGTGACTTCACTACAATAAGTCAATATGTTTCCTAATCCTGTCCAAATATCCTAAAGCTTAAAGCATTCATGTGCTTAAACCACAACCTGACATCAGGTTAAACATACAAGGTTGATAAATGATGGGTTTATTTCTGAACGCTCTGTAAAGTGCTTGTGACAGGTTGTGTTTGACTCACCACTTAGTAAAATTTAATTTCAAGCAAGTGGATTACAGTTAAAMTGACAAATAATTCTAAAAGTATACCTGTTATTGTGGCTTCAGTCAGAGCGAAGGCTAAGTTATTTTCTATCCTACAGCTGTAGGTCTCGCTGACTTGTGCCGGCTGTAACGTACTGACGAGGCTGACTATTCCTGCTGGGTCTTGTGTGAACCTGGTGCTTGCGTTCAGGACGTTCCCAGTTTGGTTCAGCCAAGTGACCTCTGGTTTAGGGAACCACCTSCTCGCCTCACTGGTCAGGACACTGTCAGAGAAGTTGAACGTGGGCACTGAAAAGGCTGAGACGTGGAAATAATCACACACGCAGAGTTAAAGGTTATCAGTTATTCCTCAGGTAGCTTTTCAAAGTAAACAGAGTGAAACTGGAAGGACGAGTCATCCTACCTGCTGTTCGAAGCTGAATGTTGACATTTCCTTGGCCCGCAGAGGAGCTGATGCTGCAGGTGTACTCGCCCTCGTCGCTGCTTTTCACACTCAGCAGCAGCAGAGAGGCGTTTCCTGCAGCCACAGCATCGGGGAAGACCTGAACTCTTCCTTTGAACTGTGAGGCCTGACCTGCAAGAGCTGGAGCTCCGTCCCTGTACAGGTAAACCAGTCCCAGGTCCTTCTTCTCCCACAGGACCGACATGACACTGAGCCCATTCTGCTGAACGTCAGCAGGAACATAGCAGCTGAGCAGCTTGTTCTCACCCAGGTTGGCCACAGGTTTTGTACTGCTGCTCATCACTGTGGATGTAGATTCTGTAGATATAAATAATGATCATTTTAATAATGCATTAATCTGATATAGCACTGTTTAGGACACTCAGACATTTTACATTATTCACTCACACACACATTCACACACTGATGGGGGTAAGCTACATTGTAGCCACAGCTGCGCTGGGGCACACTGACAGAGGCAGGGCAACACCGGCACCACCATCAGTAGGCAAGGCGGGTGAAGTGTCTTGCCCAAGGACACAATGACTGAAATGGCTGGAATGTGGGATCGAACCAGCAACCAACTGGTTGCAAGATGACTCCCCTAACCACTCTGCCACAACCACAATAATATTAAACATATTGCACAATACAAACAAAGTGTTATTTTAGAGGAATCTGAATGCAGCTACGGCCCAAGTTCCAGCATCTGTTTTTATTCTTCTCTACAGTCCAACAGTAATTTACATCAGGGATTTACCTTGAAAAATCAAAACTGACAAAATGCTGATATTTTAATGCATAAAAATATAAGAACAAACCAAACAAAACCAAAAAACATTTCAAACTCTAACATCACTACTAATAACATGCAGAGTTGTAAAGTAACTAAGTACAAATACTTCTTTACTGTACTTACGTAGGTTTTTTGGATATCTGTACTTGAGTATTTCTTTTTCAGCCTACTTTTTACTTCTACTTCTTACATTTTTACAGTTATCTGTACTTTCTACTTATTAAATTTTTTAAAAAGGTGAGAAGTAGAAAGTCGTTACTCCTATTTCCATACAGCTTGTTGTTAAAAAATATTATCCTGGATAGAGTGAATTTAATTGTGGTGGGATGAGAAGTATAAATATATATTATTCTGATCCTGTATTAGTTTTTACACAATCCATCACAGCTGCAGATAACACAAATTATGTCACACTCCAGCAGAACATAGCAGATAAACTGTATGTAACAGGTGTATTGCAACAGGTGTAGTACATCCTAATTTTTCTAATATTAACATTTTTATATAACAATATAGCCTTTTTGACCTTTAGAAAAACATTTTTTGAGGGTCTCAACTCCCAATAAATGTCATTTTGGGAAGTCTAGCTACAGATTTTTACTCAGTACTTTTACTTTCAATACTTAAGTACATTTTATGTCAGAAATTTACTTTTGATACTTAAGTACAAAATATATCAGATACTTTAAGACTTTTACTCAAATAAAATTCTTAGAGGAGACTTGAACTTTTACCAAAGTAAATTTATGGTACTTTTACTCAAGTATCACTTTGCGGTACTTTATACAAAAATGATAACATGGGCAGACAGAAAATCAGATAAGAAAATAAGCCTTGGACAGKCACCGTGCAAAATCTACAATCTAAATTATGAAAATATTAGTTGGTGTAAAATAAAAAAACAGAATACAATGATTTTCAAATCTCATAAATCCCAAATGTGTACACTAAGAAATCAAAACACCTTTAGGAAAAAAATGTASTTTTGTATTTGATAAAAGCAAAATCTCTCAAAGTTAGGACAGAGTCAACAAAAGAGTGAAAAGGTACATTGTATAAATAAAAAACAGCTGATGGAGTATTCTGCAACCAATCACCTGCTTCAGATGTTATTATTCATTAAATGGACATTAGTAGAAGTTATCAGACCCCTAGAAAGGCTTCAGAATGTCCCGACTGTGACTTCTAGCAGGTTCCGCAGTCCATTTAATGGACTGGTGATAACATCAGAATCCACTGCTTACAGCCACTATCTGGTTAATACCTGAACATTCAATGTCATTGATATATTAACCCACTAGAGGGCACTGTGGGGACAATCTGAAGCCTAGAAGGCACAGTAGGGACATTCTGAAGCCATTGTATGGGACAGATAACGCCTAACAACATCCATTTAATGGATTGATAACGTCAGAATCTGCTGAACTAATTACATTAACAGGTCAGTGAGAGACCTGGGTTTAAAAAGAGCATTTTTGAAGCTGAAGTAAAAATGGCTTCATCAGTCTGATAAAACTGAAAGTAGTCAAACAACTTCAGCATATTGTGTCATGGTTTGTCATTTTATGCCTTGGTTTTTCCTAGTGTTTCTATTTTCCCCTGTGTGTGTCTGCTCAGCTGCCCCACATCACTCTGCTGATTACCCTTGTGTTTCTCCCCAGGTGTTTTCTGTTCCCTCATTAATTTTCTGTGTATTTAAGCTCTGTCTTGTCTCTGTGTCAGTGTCCGATCATTGTGCTGCAAAGCTTGTCTCGTTTTCATGTTTCATGTAGTTTTTTCGCCACGTCTTTCCAAGTGAGTTTTCCCAGCTGCCTCGTCAGCTTTTTGATTTATTAAAGACCTTATTGTTGTTACACCTGAAACCTGCCTGTGCCCTGGGTCATTCCGTGTCTGAACCTGACAAATTGTTTCTTAGCAGCAAACTGCAAGGACTTCCATCACCTACACTTCATAATATCATCAACAGATTTAAAGAATCTGGAGTAATCTCTGAGCTCAAAGGACAAAAGGCTGAAAGTCAGTATTGGATGGTCATGAACCTYGGACCCTCAGGGGCAACTGTGATAAAAACAGATCTGGCTCTGTTTTGGACAACACTGCATGGGCTCAGGAACAATTCCACACATCACTGTCTGTAAACACAGTTCATTATGTCATCCACACATGCTGCCTAAAGCTCTGTTATGCAACAAAGAACTCATATGTGAATACCACCCAGAAATGCTGCTGTCACCTCTGGACCGAAGTTCATTTATAACAAAGTGCTAACCCCAACTGTTCTGTGGTCAGACTAATCCAAAATTGAAATTATTTTTGGTGACTAGGAACCTCTGTAGTAAAGAGGACATGGTAATAGTAATATAAGATAAGATGCTCATCCAGCCTCTGATCAGTACTCATAGCCTGCCTCTTTGATGGTATACGGGTGCATTAGTGCCTACATGGCATGAGCCACGAGTGTGTGACCTTTACAATCAAAAGACATTTCTGCCCCTTTGTTCACTAATAAAATGTGTCAGGAGTCACAGAACGTGCTCTGTGATTGTCTTGCAACCTGTCTGGAGTGTCCCCCGTCCCTCTCACTATGACTGCTGGATATGGGCACACCCGTGACCCTGAAAGTAAGAAGCGGTTTAAGATAATGGATGGATGGATGGAAATGGTGGCTTGTGTATCACTTCAAGCTTGTTGAAGCAGGGATTATCTGGCCAGTGGTGGTGAATACTATATAGGAAATTTTAACATTTATTAAATAAGCCAAAGAGCCACTTCCAGACCCCTAGCATGAGCAGTTCGCACATCTGAAAAGGCTCCGTTAGTGCAGAAAAGTACATACATATACTTCATACTGCGCCAGTAAAACAGCATGACTTTGTAAGTAGAAGAATCCAGGTGCCACACTGACCTCCCGACGTTAAAAAAAACATTTGGCACATCACAAAACAAAACTCTAGCAAAGAAGACCCAGGACTGTTGAGCAACTAAAATCCCACAGCAGACAAACTCCAGACAACACACACTTCCAGATATTGTTGAAAAAAATGTCCTAACTATGGAGCAGCTGTGGTGGAGTGGTTAGGGGAGTCGTCCTGGAACCAGAAGGTCCTCGGTTCGATCCCCCGTCCAGCTGTTTCAGTCATTGTGTCCTTGGGCAAGACATCTCACCCACCTTGCCTACTGATGGTGACAAGAGGGTCTGGTGGCACCGGTGCATGGTGGCCCCACCTATGTCAGTGCGCCCCAGGGCAGCTGTGGCTACATTGTAGCTAACCATTGGTGTGTGAACGTGAGTGTGAATGGGCGAATGTCTGTAGTGTAAAGCGCTTTGGGGTCCAGAGGGACTTGATAAAGAGCTCTGTAAGTTCAGTCCATTTACCATTTAACTGTTAATGACAGAAGCATCTGGTCATCACACAAAACTTTTTGTTTTTCCGCAGATTTTTATGGAAGATGTGTCAGTTATTATAGATATGGTTAATAAGATTAAAAAGATCCTTCACTTCCTGTTTTGAAAAAAATTCTAAGCCCAGATTCAATAGCAGTCAATGAGAGTTTGGCCATGAAATATCACATACAGGGTGAAAAAACACAAAAATGTCTGTTTTACTGAAAAATGAGTCAATGACTTATCAACCTAACTTTAATTTACACAAAATATAAATTTTATTTAAGTTGCCATAAAGTGATGTTTGTGGAACAAATTATGTTTTGTTTGATCATCTACTTTTACCTAAGTTAGGCCCTAACAATAGAAACAAACAAACAAAAAAAGTAGTTTCTTTTTTTTAGGTCAACATTTTCAACACCTTCAGGTGAAACATTAGCCCGGCCCTTGCCTTCCTACGCAGCTCCGCTCAGTTCTAGTTTCCCTTCACTGCTCCGTCTGGGATTTCTCCCATAGACAAGGATTTCTTCGGGAGCATTTCATTCAGGCCAATCAGAGAACAGAACACTGATTTTCTGTGCAGTGTCTGCTAGTTAGTTTATTTCACCTGGGCCAATCAGAGAACAGAAGGTGGAGTTTTGAACAACGTTGATTTTCTATGCAGTGTCTGCTAGTTAGCAGGGCTCTAATGGTGCGTTCACACCGAACGCGATTTCAGCTTCAAAATCGCAGCCAAAGCTGAAGTTTGAAGCTTGTGCACTTTGAGGTCAGACGCAGGTCAGCTCTTGAAGCGCTGCACGGGAACAGCCTCCCCGCCCCTCCCTCCTCTGTC